TACACGACGCTCTTCCGATCTCCCCAAAACCCCAAAACCCCTTGAATAGCTTAAACAAAAATTGAATGGAATTAGAAAGTATAAATATAGATATGAAGATATAGTTGCATACTAATTGATTATGTATTGTAAATTTCCTTTTCAATTCGATGCTCTAAAATAATAAGCAATGTGTAACTTACAATGCAAACATTCCCCCAGCAAAAAGGTAAACTATCAAAGATACAGTCATAAATAAAAAAGACTTGAATGCTGTCATGTTATTCCTTCCTATGCATTTACTGCTCCACGCGCAATGATGATCTAGCTCTTCAATGCAATAATCACAGAACTCACAGTGCTCGCTTTCTCTGTCTTCTTAATAAATAAGCTTACAAGTGGAGCAATATAATTGTGGTCTATTTTTGTGGAATGAATTAAGGTGAAATAATTACTTTAGAATTTTAACTTTATTTAGGTAGCTTTCAGAATGCTGCTTGATGTCTCTTGGAGGTAAACCAGGATTTGCTAATGAGGTCAGAAGAAAGGTGAAGTTTTAAGTCATTAAAGTAGCAAGACCTATTGAAAATAGCCATTCATGTGCTATTCTGTCTATAGTCATAATAAAAGCTCCTGCTAAACTATTAACAATAATGAGTTCTATTAATGTATATGCCCAATCTGGACCTAATACTATCCTTGGTTGATACTTTGAGTTGTACCAAAAACAATACATTTTGCCTAGTTTTGATGGGTAAAGATTATTATCAAAGTTAAGTTTGCAGTCATCAATAAAATCTCTCTTTTTGTTTTATAATCTTCTGCTATCTTGTATTTCCTCAGTATTTTAAGTCTTTTGCTCTTACTCTTTAATGAAAGCTGCCTTGAGTTTATCTTTTAACTTTTATAGAGTACTTCCAGCCATCTTTTCAATTCTATCAGATTACATAGTCTCTGTAGTTTAATCATCCTCTTCTATTTGAGTGTCAATAATTTAGATGTCCTCCTCGTTTTATCGAGAAAACTCGTTACTTTACTAATATACTTCATTGTATGACTGAGTGACAACAACCTCTTGCTTTTTCTTTTGCGCTTTTTTCTATTTGTACTCATGAAGTTCAATATCTTCCTCCATTGTGTGTTCATCGATATTTCTCATATCTTAAAAATAGTCATTTTTCTTTGCCTGCTTTAATGCCATTGATTTTGAATTTATAAAATTAATTTTATGAACTGATTTTACTAATTTTCTAATTATTAATGAAATTAAGCAATTTTTAAGCTCAAACTTGTTCAAATTCCTCTCACTTTCTCTTAAAGCTAGTCTTTGAAGATTTTGCTTTTGAGGATAATCCACCTCCTCCTAAACCGAAAGCCTTGCCAGTCTTTCCTCTCACTGATTGCTATTTGCTCCACATCATATATCCCACAGCAATCAATATCAAAATGAATATTCTAAAAATATTAGCAAATATGTAACTTACGCAGGGAATTTAAAGTTTACGTTATCCCAAATACCACCACCAGAGCTTGATTGAGCAGATGAAGCATATTCAAGAAGTATAATTTTGTTATTCTTTTCAGCTGGCACTCTCATCATTACAAGATTTCCTATCACACTAATTGAGAATACATTTCTAATTTCTTTAGCATCAAGAAGTTCAATTGGAATTGAGAAATCATTCTGATGTTTAAGATAGCTAGGTTCAAATTAAACGATTTGAGGTGCAATCATAATGTTTTAGATGTCAGTAGTATTGAGATAAAAGATATTGCCTAAATTATCCTGGAACAATAAACCACCTTTAAGGGTTGTCATTGTGAGATTGACTTTATCTTTCAAACTAGCAAAAGGTTCTAATTTGCCAACAACTATATAACTTTATAAAGGAAGTGATTTTACTTTTGCACTCAATTGTGTCTTATTTGTTGCCATGCTGCTTCTAATCAAAGATAAAAATTTCATTGTCAAAGCTTAGTCCATAAAGAATTCCGAGATGTTGATTATCACTAGCAATCCTTTTGAGGTTGGCTGTGCCTGAGTCACAATGATTAGGGGCTAATTTGCTTTCAAAAACCTTAACAAAGCTTATCGAATTATTTTCTGAAATAGATTAAAAAAGCTGTGATCTATAATTACTAGCAATCATTAGATTGTTTGAGTTCTTTGTAATATAAGTAACCTCGTTTGATTCAGAACTGAACCTTGTTTTTAGCTTCATGTTTTTGTAGAGTACACTTTAAACATTATAGACTAAAATTACTTAAGAAATCCTTGGTTATCTAGTATAACGTAGTATTTTTGTCCTCTTATCTGATATATTTGCATATCCTTAAAATGCACTTCGCGTTTATTAAAATTCACTGTTCTGTCCAAATTTTCATCAATTATATCTAATATATTGAATTCTTCTTCATCATCGATAAAGATGCTAAAATTATAATTTACCCAAATGATAAATTTTACAAAGGCTGAGAGAATTTCAAGGGAAATCCATCAGCAAACATTTTCTTCCCTGGTGTAGTCTCTTTGAGCTCATCTTCAGACCTGCTGTCACCTTTTGATTTTAAACCGTATTTTTCTCTTGCATATTTGTAAAATGACTATGAAGTCTCAATTATAGTGTAGTTGAAAACTTTTAAAATACCCTTTTTGTTCATCACAGCAAAATATGCTTCATCAACAGTTTGTGGAGAACCAATATCTATTTAATGATGAAGGCTAATTACTTACCAATAATTTCAGCTCCTAGTCCAGTGTCCATTCTGAGAAGTTCTTAGCCTATAGGGTTTCTAATTACCACATCTCCATTTGATAAGCCAAATATTAGTAATTGGTTAACATTGGTTTTGGCATTATGATATTTGATGCTTTTAGTCTGAATGAAATCAAAGACTCTCACCTCCTCATCGCCAAATGATACGATTTCTTTTTCATTCATTGCAGTTTATGAAGTCTGAATTTGAGTATTTTAATGAAGATCTATTTGCTTCTATATTGCTTTCTAGTGAGTACCTCCATGGCTTATTTAGTTGAGGTAATAGTTATATCTTGCTTGGAAAGCTTCTCTAAAGGTTGTCCAAGTATTTAAACTTATTTTATACATGTAGTCTAGAGTAATAGGATCATATTCAAAATACTCCTCCTCCTGATGAACTCTTTATGCTGCCTGTAATTCCTCAAGTAAGTTAAGTTTTTGTTTAAGAAGATCCACCTTTTCTTATAAGAGTTATATTTCTAACTCATTAATATTCCTTGGCTCATCTTAGCAGATAATCATCAAAGATATTAGAAGAACTGTACTTAACTAGATTATTTACTTCATTTTTAATTTTTAAATAATTCATCAAATTTCAAACTTATTGCCCATAGTGGGGTTTTGGGGTTTTGGGGTTTTGGGG